CTTCTTTTATCTTGCCATAAAGAATAGATAAATTGTAGCATTTGATATCAACCTAATGTTAATAACTTTGGTCTAGGTTTTTTCAAATCATAAGTTGTAGAACTATACAAAAAGGTGTAAAGAAATATATAGACTTATAGATAATAATAACTTTATAGAATTTATAATGAATAAAAGAAGATACACCTTCCTAAATCATAAAAAAGGGCATGAATAGCCTTAAGATCTACAATTAAAAATCATTGGCAACAATATCTATATATTCCTAATGATGAATTCTAAGTAGGAGAGTGGATGAATTCATATACAAAAGAAGCCTCAGTAACATCCATAGTGGTGTGATAGTCTGTAGTAGAATTTTGTGCTGACTTATGACAGAGCAAGTTCTAGGTATCTCTATAAGTTTCTACGTATAAGATTCCTAGAAATAACAACAATATTTTAGAAACTATATTAGATCAACAATAAACAAAGTATAGGATGGCGAAAGAATGAAGTCTAAGAACAATGTATGTTACTAGCCTACCAAAACACATGTGCATAATTATGGTCACAAAGAAATAATAGAAAAAATACTATAATTATATTATAAAAGAATTAATCATCTAATGTAAGATCTCAAGCTATTTCATTGGTTGAATTAAATATTTTTCATATAATATATGGCCAAAATGGACTAATCTCTCTTCCAAAAAAAATACACTATCTTTAAAGTAATAATCCATAGGTGAGAAGGATTTCTATCATCTTGTTTTAAGTTGAAAAGGACTAATATGTAGAATAGGCTAAAAAAGAAGCAGACCTCATGTGGTTGATTTGGCATTACATATGAGTTGTAAATACATGAAACGGCAAGTCAAAAAATAATATTGATCAATATTTTTTAGTTTATTTATTAGAAATTAAAAAGATGATACTTTACAATTTTTTGGAGTATAATTTTACAATTAAAGCATTGCAAAGGATGTTCCACATTATCAAACTACTCACCTCCTTTGTAGTAACTAAAGAATAACAAAGAAGGATTATTAATGACAAAAGATAAGAGAACAACTAGTGCCATAGGCACTTTAGTCAATCAATTGATCTCAAGAATGATCATGGTTGAGACCAACAATTCATCTAATTCTTATTATTATGGTTATATTGTATCATTGTCTATATAGTTTTTAGGAGATTTAAAAAGATTAGTTGCATTTGGTTGTTGATTTGAAGGATCAAAATGTAGGCTTTATAAGTAGAGCAAAATAATACTGTGTTGTCATATTATGTGAAGTCTTGCTTAAAAATGCGCTGTGCATATGGTTGTAGAAGGTAAAAGAAAATTTCAACTACAAGTCCTAATAGCTCTAATAAAATCATATATAAATTAAAACTAAAGCTTAACAAATATAATCAAATATTAATCAAGTCTAATTAAAATTTCTAATTAAATTATAAAAAAATATAAAAAACTTAAATAAATTTTAATTGAATCCTAATCAATTCTAGATAAAATCTCATCAAATCTTAGAAAAATCTTTAAAAAATCATTGACAAATCTTAGTCAAAACCTAAAAAAATCTTAATCAAATTTTTAAAAAATCCTATACAAATCCTAATCAAATCCTAATCAAATCCTAGATAAACTTTAATCAAATCTTAAGCAAATTTTATTCAATTTTAGACAAATCCTAATAAAATCTTAGGCAAATCCTAATAAAATTCTAAATCCTAAACATATCCTAAATTTTAAATAAATTTTTAATAAACTTTGTTGCAAATTAAAACTTCTATAATTAATAATAAAATCATTGATTTCAACTTGAATTTTGCACGCGCTTCAACAACTAAGCTAGCAACAATCACAAATATTTTTAAAGAGATCAAACTTACTAAATAGAAGATAAATTCTAAAACCTGCTTGGATGTTGGTATGCCTTCTTTGCTAATCTTGATGCCAATCTTCTCAAGCCAAAATCTCTTTATTCCATTATTAAATATCTGTCAAAATTTACCTAAATATTAAAAATGAGGTTTATTATCTACATACATTTCACCTCAATCAAATTAGCAGATTGCTAAAGATTTTAGAAACCCTTGTTAACCTTCAAAATTCTATTTTTGAAATACCAATCCACTTAAACTTCAATAACTTTCAATCTAACTATTTGATCATGCTCAAATTTATAGCATATAATAAGAACAATTATAAACACAAATCTACAAATTATCACCTATAGATCTACTATTAATCTCATAAAATTTTCTTAAATGTAAACTATTTTTTTACTTTATTAAATTAGATTCACTGAAAACACTTATGACTTTGCAAAGCTCTTACAAAATCATTACAAAATCATTACAAACTCAAATTACTCAAAATCAATGCTTAAAGAAACCTTGTTAAGTCTTTTCTAAAATTCTACTCTTTGATTTACAAAAGAATCATGGAGTTATTGTAAGTATATAGTTTTATGCCTCAAGATTTGATTTCAATCCAAGTTGACAAGTGGTTCTCTTTAAGTATAAAGTTTTGATAATTTGAGGTAATTTTTGCTTTAATCTATTGCTAATTCTCTTCTAAACATACCTATATCAATATTTTATCTCATTTACTTTGATTTGGCTCATTTATGCCTCAACAAAGTAAATAAAAGTCCCTTCTATAAAAGGCAACATTAAGACAATTTTTTACTACCTTTCTATCATTTATCCTTATTTTTCTACTACATCTTTTTACTAGGCTCTTCTATAATAACATCCATATTTTTATTTTTCATTATATAGTTGTCTTATCACATGACAATGTTCAATGATGTCTACTAGAGAGAATAACAATTGTTTTAGAAATTTTGGTTGCAACTCTGCAACTATGGTTGGAATGCGTGGCTCAAAACACTTCTCATCAAGCACAGACCCCTACAAGTGACAGCGCATTTACAAAGGTTTAGACAGCAATGGTGCACAAGCCAGGTCCAAGGGACGTGGCAACAGTCCAAACTAATGTGGAAACCCAGTTGGCCCAGAAGTATCTTTAGTGTAAATAGCTAGCCGTAATTTACTACCCTGACCGGACAGGGTTGGGACCTTGTACTCTAACCTTTCTGCAATAGAGAAATAAACTCTATTTGTTTATTTTATTTTATTTTATTTTAAAAAAACAAACAAAAACAGAAAACAAACAGTGATTGCACACCACGCAGCGTTGATAATCACAGAGATCCCAGGCCTAAGGCGAGGTGAGTCAGGGAGGGGCCCTGGGTGAAACGTCAGGCTGCATTTAACACAAATACTAGGTAGGTGACTGGTCTGCGGTACTGGTAAGCGCCGGGGCAAGTGAGCTGCAATTAGTGGAACCATTTCCAGAGTTGAGGAGAGAGTTGCATTGAAAAAGCCAACTAATCTCATCTTTGATATGTGAATCATGTCGATTTCATGCAGACACATACTCAGCTTTTGGTGCAGGTGGCGGCAGGTAACGATCGTCGTAGGATGTGAGCTTACAGCTACTTCGTATTCCAGCAGCAGTGGACTGACAGCGTCAGAGACCCGTGCAGATAGACCAGCGTAGTTGAGAACTTGAGAGGTGTGGGGAGAGGGAGCCATAGGATCAGAGCCTCTGCGGTGTTAGACTTCGACTGACATGAGCCTGGATTTTGTCCAGTTCTGACCGCAAAGGTTCTCGTCACACCCGAGGCAGCACCATCTACATTCCAAAGGGAAGCGCAAATTCCATATAAGCTACTTGCAATTCCGGATCTGGATGCAGAAGATCGGTGCTGTTTGTCCCGCATCATCGGATGAGATCACTCCGTTGGTGAAGTCTATGTGTAGGCTCGTGAACTCTTCGATGTTTCCAAGATTGTCAGCATCACATGTCTGAATGAAATTATATATACATATATATACTTGTAACTCAGAAATGTAGTTATATTTAATTCTTTTAAACCATGATTTCAATCACTTGGTAATCGTTATCGAGGTGTATTTGTTTTGACACTAATATAATGGTGTATAAACCACAACAAAACAGTCTGTATTTTAACATCTTTTCAGTGCAGACCAGGAGCTAATGATTCATATTGCGAAGTCATGGTTTGTAGGCCTACAAACCATATACGATTTTCTCCATTCATCTGTCCTTTTTTCCGTTTACATTCACCACCAACAATCAGCCCAATGATAAAACTGAGACTGCTGGTCATTCTAGTGAAAGCTCTCATCTCAGGTTTGAGGTATCGGAGCATGCGTGCTGTCTAACAGACAATAATTAATCTTTGTCATTTCGTTCAATACTGAAAGTGGCACTTTCTCAATGCAGTTATGTCGGTAATGCTACGAGAATTGCCTCGGTGACTGCGAAGATCTCCATCTCCATCTCCATTACTCCCCCTAATCCATCAATTCATATACCTGACGCTGGTAAAAGTACCGGGCCAGTATATTGCTGAAACTAAGTGACAGCTTGCGACGTTATACGTCCAGCTCACAGGCATAATCTGTCTTGCATATCTCCAGTATAAGATCCATGTTGGTTTCTAGATTTCAAGCCGCCAGCATAGAAATAACATCAAGAGTTTAGTTATGCTTTTGTGTGAGAGGAAATGGAATGACAGCGGCAGCGAAAGGTAAAGGCGCTGATTGAAAAGCCATTCAATCATCTGCAATCTACAATCACGGCATGAGGCACGGGATGGATTTTTATTGTCTCTTCTGAGGGTGTTGACACTCCCACCGAAAAGGATTCTCAACTCGAAGCGCACTCTCGGAGCGTCCAGGTACCCAACATCATAACCGCCCAAAGTACGGTGGCCAGATCGTCGCTTGCGTGTGTAAGATTTTGAAAGAGTACCGTCGTTTTTTTTATTAAAAACTTTTCTTTTCTTTTCTTTTCGTAGGAGTGCAGGTTTCTGGCATAGAGACCTGACATTTCCGTAGCATACGTTGACATTGGGTCCTTAGGAATGCTATGGAGGATACCGCTGTTCTTTTCCCTTTGGTGGTAGTGGGCACTCGCATTGGGCAGTGGGTAATTGCATGAACGTGATCTTGAATATCCAGAGCTCCAACCGAGAATTGTGCTCGTCTCTGTGGCAGTCGATTCATCCCATTCAATGCTTGGGGTTTCATGCGCACGACGGTAGGGTTTGAAACCACGTTGGGAATGCCAATCGATCATGATTGTGGAGGGCTTTATCTCGGGGTGGCATTTAAGAGCTGTACATGCGTCCAATCCAGCTACCTTGCAGACCTCGCAGGGATGCCATTGTCATTACTGCGTGACCATTTGCAACTGGCAGTCGAGTCATTCGGCGTTCAGGTTCGCCTCCACGAGTAGGGTTGCAACTCTGGAAGGTACGTGCAGCGCATCGCATTCAATGAACAACCGCGTGAGAAGCATCAGGATGATTTTAACAGTGCCTCAGACACGAACATCAAGCCAAGGCTGCACTCTGCAAGAAGGATAACTCTCTTCCTCCGAGGGCAGAAGCAGGCTCCAGTCACGAATGGTCTATCAGTGTTGAGTAAGTTTCGTCACTTGTACCAAACTGGTTGATTCTCTTCTTCGATCTCTAAACCCTATACTTCTCGTGTCGGGATTAATTGATTCATATTATTACAATCAACTTGCTGGTCTGTAACTTCGATCACTGCATGATGAATCATCTTTAATCACTGCAGGATGAAGGGATAACTTGAACTGCAAGACAAGTTCTGAAACCTGTAACTCGATGTTGAGCTCCAACAGAGGATCTCAATTGTCGCAGACCAGTGAGAACTGCAATGCTAACTTTTGACACAGTCAGACAATCCTATGAGACTTAGGGTGTAGATGTTGCTGCAGTACAAGATTAAAAAATCTCACACAGACCAGATTTGTGCTTCACGTTTTCAGTAAGCTTTGTATATTGTATTTTGTGGGTGTCATTGCCACCACACTGATCTGGGTTTCACTCTTCTCTCTGTGAAGGTGATTCAGTTGTATCCCTCTGGATTGCCAAGACGTTCGTTCCTCTCGCAAAATGGAGCTTAATAAGCATGTATCAGGCCTTCACAATCTAGCATGATCGGACCTAACTGAACAATGGTACACTGGATGTTTTCTTTCTCCCGAGCACTTCTCATTCACCGGGTACGTCTTGCTAAGGCACTTCTCCTAGAGGTATTACCATATGATAACAAGTTTTGTTATGTTAGTCCACAGTTGCAGCTCCCTGAAGCCCTATCCGAATACTGATCGGCGTCTCCTAGGAATCCACCATCATGCAAGAAGCTGCAGTTACCAGCCTGGAAATGTACATCTCATTATCACAGTGGTACCAACTTCTCCGATCAGGAAAACGCGGAAGCTGATATTGAACCATCGACTGCTTCAAAGAAGACAACATGATGAGACAGTGAGTGAGAAGCTTCTTTCTTAGTCGAATCACACCATTCTTACTCATTTGAAATGGTAAGGATCTATATGCCGGAGCATGTGACAACTCCATCTGGAAACCTGATATTCACCGACTCATGTGGGTGTATGTTAATGTGCAGCTCGTGAACCGCTCAGCTTTCCGAAGCAAAACGCTGCCGACATCGACACAGACACCGACATAGACACGTCCTTCGGCTCATGTTGGAATGAATTTATGCATTATATTGTGGGAGATTGATGGATGGATTGGTTCCTCAATTGAAGGATCTGACCCAGGTTTGTTCTCACCCGAAGATGTGTGTGCATAGGTGTGCGTGTGTGTTTATTTGTTTATTTATTTATTTTGCATTTCAATCTTTTCAATACGAAACTAAACAAAACGTATATGATATTGATTCTAGAACGCAGTTATGGGTTCAGTACCTGAGTAGAATAGAAAATGTCATTTTATGAATATGATGTTAAGAGGGAATTGTCAAGTAGAGTGGTACTATTAATGACTTTGTAAGTGGGATGTTTCAGGATTGGAGACAAAGGTTGAGATAAAGATGGTAAATAATTATGTTGGTAAGGTTTGGGAAATGAGGTGTAAAATTAGAGTGGAAGTAAATTAAAGATTCATTAATATTAATTTAGAGATTCTTTAAATAAAAGTACAATTTTCCATACAAAATAAGGTAATATTTTTTATTTTCTAAACAATAGTATATATACAAGTAGGGCTTTTTATGCAAATCCAATTATTATTCAATACTTTTTAACATCTATTATTTAAATAAAATTAAACTATTCTCTAATACACATAAAATAAATCTTTACATGAATGTAGTTTTTAATTAGAAATAAAAAATCTATAATATGATGTAATCTATTTTATGATGTATATGTATTTTATTATAAATTCCAACTTTATTTTAGTTTAAAATGTTTAGTGGCATATAGTTTAAAATGTTTTATTTTGAAAATGCCCAAAAATATAATTTATGTAAGGATTACTAAAATTAGTATAAAGAATTTAACAATTTTTATGCCACTATTTATAAATAATTCTAATTAGAACAAAAGATTAAGAAAAAGCTAAAATATTTTATTTTAAAGTGTCATTGTTTTTCAAAGTTTAAGAGTAGGAAGACTCAAATCTGTTTAAAAATCAGCGAGGGTAAATTATTAATAAATGCTTTAAAGTATATTCAAAGCTCTCATCATAAAGAACATATACATGCACATGTGTATACAAGAATAAAAATAAAATTAAAGTTACATATTTTTTTGCAAATTCAGTAAGCATAATCATTTTTTGTGTATGGAAATTAAATTACATACATACATACACACACACATATATATATATATATATATATATATAATTATAAAACTTACAATTGTATGTATTTTATTTCTATTAGTATTTGGTGCATCTGAAAACCATCAATAAATGTTACATATATTATGATTTTTATATATTTGATTAAATAGTAAAAAAATTAAAAATTAATAAGCCATAATAAGAAAATATATATTTTAAAATAAAAAATCTAATAATAAAGTCTTATGAACCAATCAAGGTATTAATATTTAAAAAAAATAAAAAAATAATGTGATCTTAAATACTCTATATTATAAGTAAAAATCACTTTTTATATAATTTGGTAATACTCAATAATACAAAGATATTTAATTTTTATATAAAATATAAATTTTAAATATATATATATATATATATATATATATACACATATTTTTTTATCTTTTAATTCTAAGATTTGCAAAATAACTTGTTAAGGAAGTTGTTAAATTTACACCCCTCTTTGTCATCTTATAATTGATTTTGTCTCTATCTCTTGTTTTTGACCTTCATTCCTAGCCTCCCTCCCTCCTCTCCCTTCATTCATGTTTTTAGCCTAAGACAAGCCTTACCTCACACTTCTTCTCTCCTTATTCCTCTTCTATTTGCAAAATACAATATTGGAAGAAGCACCACCCCTATCATGTACACTAGTGAATTGTACAGATTAGATGTCATCTCAGTTCTTAGTAGATGGTTGGCTATTGGGACTAGAGAGATAAATTTGATTCCAACAAAAAGACTCTTTCCTCATGTATGAAAATTTGTTCTCTTAGTATTTCAAATGGAACATGTTTAATAGTTAAAAAGAATTATTGGTACAAGACATGAGAAAATTCAATGGCTGATTGAGCTTAAAAAAAACATATATTTCCAAGACACAATAGAAACACATATCTTGAATTATCCACTAGGATAATCTTAAAGAGAAAGAGAAGAGATGCTAATCAATTGGAGGATTTGGTTACATCCTAAGAGAAGTGTGACAAATAGATGCAAGTACTAACGTTGAAAAATGGCTATGATAAACTCAATATATATATATATATATATATATATATATATATAGATATATATTTTCTTTTTTCTTTTTTTTTTCTTTTTCTCTCTCTCACATTCTCCAATAAAACTTGTCTTAGTTTGGGAATGAAAGTCATGAACATGAAATGAGAATGAGTGAAAAATAGAAGAGGGGGAGAAGAAGGATGTATTGAAAATGGCGGACAAGAATGGGAATAAGAATAAGAAAAAGAAATAGAGATGGAATCAATCATGAGATAGCAAGGATGGATGTGGCTTTAACAACATTGGGATGTGGCTTTAATAACTAATTCTATTAATGAACTTTTAATATATTCTAAAGTTTAAAAATGATTATAAAATATTTAATTAATTTAAAAATATTAATTTAAAAATATTGGTAGTAAAATTAATAATATATAATCATTATTACTATATTAATTTATTTAATTTATCCAAAGTTATAAGTTGTTGGAGTGATTCTAGTTATATAATAATATTTTATAGTCAATTTGTTAAGATATAATAATAATAAATATATATTTTTTTACTTTTTTATTTTTAAACTTCAATTAATCTTAAAAATATATATATCTACAAAGTATTATAAATGGTAAATAGTAAAAAGACCATACTTCATAGTTAATATATAAAACATTATATAATTACATAAAAATAGATTGTTATATTTTATAATATTATAATTTTTTCTATTTTTTAAATATAAATTTATTTATAGGATAATGCTATTCCACCACAACTTTTACTATTATCTTTATGACATGTCATCTTTTTAATATATATTTTTAATATTTAATATTTTTTAAATTTCCAATAATTTTTTTGTGAATATTTTTAACATTTTTTTTAAAAGATTATAAATAAAATAGATTTAAATTTAATAAAAATAATTAGAAATGCAATAAGAATAAGTTGTGGTAGCAATAGCAAAAATTATAGTTGCATTAGAAACACCCAATATATAGTAATTATTGTGATAAGCTAAAATTTTACGAGGCATTGAATTAAATGTCAAATAGATAATAATGTTTTTACAAATTAAAGGTCAAATTAATATATGTGTAATTTATATAAATATAGCATGTTTAATATTTATTATGTTATATTGATATTTCTACAATTGAATGAAATAAATATTTCTACCATTATTAAAATTTTCAATTTTTATTTCTAGTGTATCTATTTCAGGAAGTTTAAATTTAAGAATCAAATTATTTATATTTCAAACATTTCACGTGTAAATTGAAGTTACAATTTAAAATCTAATTATATTTCTGTAAAATACATTGTAATGGATTAGTTGTCAAGTCTTTTGGTTTTTTAAAATATTGACAACTGTTCTGCAAAGTTTTAGTTTAGGTTTTTCTGAAAGCTTTTCATTTGTATTTTCTTATCTAACTAGAGTAGAGTAAAATTAAACTAATTTTAAATGTATGTTTTTAAACATATGCATCTGAAGAGTATTTTAAAGTTTAAAATTACTTGCATTTAAACTGTAAGTTATTTTTACATGATATACATATATATTTATATATATATATATATATATATATATATAAGTGGTTTATAAAAAGGTACATGTTAAAGCCGTTTGTATATATATATATATATGCATGCACACATTTCTTATAGCAAATGACTACAAAAATGGAAGAATAAGTAATTTTAATTTTCAAATTATGTTCATTTTTACAGCTTTTAATTTAAGTTTTTTTTATTGAGGACACACACCAAGGATGGCTGCAAAGAGATGAGAATTTGACATGCGAAACTGAACCTATTTTATATATAAATATATATATATATATATATATATTTATCATCATCTTATGAATTAATGGCAAAACACCATTATATAATAGGAAGTTGAATATTCCAAACTCGGAATTCCATACATGCATTGAATTCTAATCAATCAATCAATGAATCATCAGCAGCACCATCACCGCACTGATCCAGCACAGACAGACAGACAGGCAGACAATAATAGTATAATAATATCCCAAGTTGTGCAAAATAAAGACACGGCGACAAACACGAACACACACCCACCTACACACACACAGCCAGCTCCATGAATGAAAGGAGCACCGCTACCCTGCTTCTGCTTCTGCAGCAGTGGCAGGGTGTGACCCAACTCCAACAAACGAAGGGGAAGAAGAAGAGCAGCCAGGGGAGCCCAGGAGGAAGCAAGCAAGCAAGGAAGGAGACTGAAGGACAAGGAAAAGGCAAAGGAAAGGGGACTGACTCTCCGACTGACTGACTGACTGACCCTCAACCAAGTAATGAATTAATTAAGTAAAGTAAAGTAGCGATACCTCTCTTCCTCTCCACAAACTCCCCCCCCCCAGCTTTGGAAAGGGAAGGGAAGGAGGGAGAGATGGATGAATGAGGAACGATGTGATGAAGAGAGAGGATAGATGAATGAATGAGGAACGATGTGATGAAGAGAGAGGATAGATGAATGAATGAGGAGGTGCTGTTGTGCACCTGTCGTGGTGGGGTGGGGTGGAGGGAGGAGGAGGAGGAGTTTCTCCTGGAACGCGGGCCTTGGAATCCACGCACTCACACATACACACTAACACTCACCCCACCTACACACACGCCGCACAGTTCGAGGCGGATCCTCGCCGCACCCCATACACACACACGCACACATGCACACACACTAAGAGATAGAGAGAGAGACTGAGGGGGGACGGGGACGGAAGGGGGGGATGGGCTCATGTATGTTTCACCATCACCACCCCCACTGCTACTTACTAACTAGCTGCACCATTGCACCGAAACGCAACGCAACACAACGCAATGCAACTCGACGCAACCCAAAAAGCCAAGCAGCACAGGCTGGGACTGGGAAGGGAAGGGAAGGGGCATCCATCCGCGAAGAAGCAGCAGAAGCAGAACAACTCTGTTGGCCCCGCGCGGCGACGTGGCATCGGAGGAGGCTCAGCTAAAGCTAAGCTAAGCTCAGGGTGGTGGTGGTGGTTCCTGCTTTTGGTGGCCGACAATGCACCCAACCTGAGTGAGCGAGGAGGAGGACCCCCCACTCCCACCCCCACCCCTTGGACTTTGCCTGCCTGCCTCCCTGTCTGTGCGTGCGTGTGTGCGTACTTGTGTGAGTGAGTGAGTGCCCGCGATGGAAAGCGGTAACCGAACAACGTTGGCGCGGATAAGGGACAGGTGAGTTCAACACCAATTGGGAATTGCGCAATGCCATGCATTCCTTGGGTTCAACCTTGCCTTCGTGAGACTGGGTAGCTGCGTTTTAACGCCGGATCTTGAGATTTGGGTCTCTGTTGGGCTGTCGTGCCTGCGAATCTTTGGGTCTGAGTCCTACGTCATCGCTGAGTTTGGAAGTCCGGAGGGTCCAGAGTCGGGATTTCGAGATTGTATAAGGCGCATTGATGCGCTGAATGTCCGCTTTTGGTAAGTTTGAGGACTTGACGGGTTGTGTATATTGGGTTGGAGGTGGGATGAACTCTATTCTTGTGGCGATGGTAGGGTGTGCCCAAGGGTTCGTGCCGCAAATCGACTTGTAGAAAGTTTCACGTGGTTTGTGTACAATTGCGTAGACACTGGATAGCGAGGTGGTTGTTGTGAGCATTTTCTTGCATCTGGAGTGCGTGGGAGTCATCTTGTGTGGATCGGTGGGAATTCTCGAGAGGCAAAGGATATCCGCCGCTGCAAGTTGAAGAAGCGTTCTGGGACATTGCTTGTGCATGTGGGAATTTGGTTAGCGTTATATCGTGGTGGAATCGATCCTCCTGTTGGAATAATTCTGCAGACTACCTATTGACTACCTTAACCTGGGAGGTAGAAGCCATCAAGGTTTATCAGTGACATGTTACGCAAATGTTGATGCCCTTACATTCGGAAGTTCTTTTCAGCGGAACAGTCATGCGCATGCATTGGAGTTGCTCGTATCATCCAGTGAAATCCATGCCTCGAATTCTCCATACTGTTTGGTCGTCTGTCGAACAATTGTTAGATTCTTAATGCGGTGCCGATGCGGTGAAATCATTTTTCTTTGGCGTGCAGAATATTCCGTAGAGTTACAGTATGACTTTGGAAGGAGCTTCTGGGTACTTAGCAAAGCTACCACATACTTCGGAGAGGACAACGGGGAGAGCAGGACTGTGAGCGCTACTGTTCAAATCTTTGAATCGTAAGCGTTTTTGTAGTGGAGATCATATGCACTGGCTGGTTGTGAATGGGATGGTAACTAGTTTCTGCAGAAAATTCACTGTGCGATCTCAATAAGTCCACATAGAAAGGTCCTTGTCGGGATCATTGTGAAAAATTCATCGGAATTGTGTGTTTGAATCGCGCAGGAGATAGTATGTTTTAAGTTAGCGTCTTCTCTTTGAAAGGTTTTACAACGTTCTGCCTCTGTTGTGAGTTCATGCGTACAGGTCTGCTTAATGGATTATTGGTAAGAGGAGTCCGAACTAAAACAAACTAGTGAAAAAGCCATGACAAAGGGTGGTTCCCAACATAAACCGCATCGAAGGGGAGTTCGAGTGAAAAAGCCAAGACAAAAGGTGGTTCCAGATATAAACCGCATAGAAGGGATGTTCCTAGCGGTGATGTGTGAAGAGACAGGAAGATGCTTAGGCCACGGTTTACAGTAGCTTGTGCATTGACTGCAAAGAAGATCCTAAGTTTCATACAACCGAAATTGGAGGCCCATGCCAGGTCCTTTTAGTACCTCTATGTTCTGATTAGATTTGCATTGGAATAGATTTTAAGATTTATAACTTGCAACAATGAGGAGAAATATATGAACTATTATGGCCAACATTTCTATTATTTTCTTGTAGGATTTTGAATTAGTATTGTTGAGGTTTGTCTTACATGCTTATTTGTCTGTCAATAATCTTATAAAGAGCATCACAATTTAGAGTCATTTTTGTATCCATATGAATCATTAAAATGACTTAAAATGAGATATTTAGTACAAAACATGTAATTATTATGCTTAAAATCACAATATATGGTGAGGAGTGTAGAAAACTTTAAACAAATAGAAAATTAGAATGTTTGGTGTAGAAATGGAATCTTAGTAAGTCTTGAAAGCAATTATCTAAATTGATTTAATATTTTTACTCATTATTGAATATTAAGAATTAGTTATTAAGATTAATATCTATATTGGCTTTCAATTTATATATATTATTTATAAAAAATATAAATATTAATTAATAATTAAAAGAAGCATAAAAAAGAACCTTATATCTTTTTAATTATTAATATTAAAAATAAGATTTATAGTAGATTTATATTAATTTTATTATTATAAAAATCACCAAGATAAAAAAATATAGCATTAAATCAATATTAAAATTATAAAAATATTATTAATTTTTAAAAAATTTTAAAAATATTTTAAAGAATTTTTAGAATAATTTTCAAGATTTTGATAAAATTGAGTTTAATCATTTTAGGACCATTATGAAAAAATGGAATTAGATTTAAAAGCAACACAAGGTTCTTAGGTTAATTTAATATTTTTTTGACACCATGGTGAAGTCAAAAATATAAAAATATTGGTTCTACTAATAGAAAATAGGAGGATTGGTAGCTACTATAGTCTTTGTAAGAAAGGAGGTGTACAAATTTCATATAGATTGTAGCACCTTAAATATAGGTAGGAAGATAAGACTAAGGCCTTGTAGCCTTTCTAAGAGACCGATATATACTACATGTGAGCCTTGGTGATGTACAAACCCTTGATCTAAAATATTTCTATTTAATTTTTTATTTAATTATTTATTATTTTTAAACCTTCATGACTTAATTAACCTTAGAAGTTATAATAATTCAGATTTATATATATTTTATATTATTAAAAAAATAAAAAAATATCTTTTTAAAAATATATTTTTAATTTTTTAGTTTTTATTTTTTATTAGATGAAAACATTGTCGTAATATGTGAAGTCTTGCTTAAGAATGCTCTGGGCACCTAGTTGTAGAAGGTAGAATGGAAATTGCTACAACAAAATCCTAATTCTAATAGAACGCTAACAATGCTAAATAAGCTTTAATCAAATTCAGAGAAACCTCAAAGGAATTACAAAGAAATAATAAGAAATCTTAAAGAAATATTAGAATGATTACAAACATATGTCAAATACATCTCAATTCAATCTTAATTTAATCCCAGTTGAAATCCTATTAGACTTCATTCCAACTTTAGGCCAAAAACTAACTAAATCTTAAATCCTAAACAAACTCAAATAAAATACTTAAATCCTAAATCAAATCCTGACCAAACTCTAACTAAATCTTAAACTCTAAACCAAATCCTAAACCCTAAACTAAATTCTAAACCTTAAATCAAATCCTAACCAATCCTAAACCAAATCCTAAACCCTAAACCAAATCCTAAACTCTAAACCAAATCCTATACCTTAAATCAAATCTTAACTAAATCTTAATCCTAAATCAAACACTAACCAAATCCTAAAACCTAAATCAAATCCTAACCAAATCCTAACCCTAACTCAAACCCTAACCAAACCTTAATTCTAAATCAAACCCTAACCAAACTCCAATCTTAAATCCTAAACCAAATCTTTACCAAATCCTAATCCTAAATCAAATCCTAATCAAATCCTAAATCAAATCCTAATCCTAAATCAAATCCTAACCAAATCCTAACCAAATCCTAACCTTAAATCAAATCTTAACCAAATCCTAAACTCTAAATCAAATCCTAACCAAATCTTAACCAAATCCTAGTAATTTCTATAATAGATTTAAACCTCAATAATTAATGAATGAATTGTCGATCTTAACTCAAAATTTTCATACTTTTGAAAAATTAAGTTAAAAACAAGCACAAATAATTTGAAAAGAATCGAAATTACCAAACAGACGATAACCTCAAAAATGTGCTCAAGTATTGGCTGGCCTCTTTCTCTAATCTTGATGCCAATCTTCCAGAGCCAATATCTCTCTTTTTTACTCTTTGATTGATCTCAAAATTTTTAAATACATAGAAAAATAAGTCTACTATCTTCACCCATAAATTTCACTCCAATCCAATTAGTACATTCCAAGAAATCTTAAAAATTTTCACTGAACTTAAAATTCTACTTTCTGAGATCTTGACGTACTTAAACCTCAATAATCCTCAATTCAACCATTAGATCAAGCTAAGATTCACAATACATATTAAACACAACTACGACCATTAATCCACAAAATTTCACTTGTAGATCTATTACAAAACTCTTGAAATCACTAGAAACGTTAATCCTATTTTATTTCACAAAATCCAAATCATCTGAAAACAAACTTGATTTTGTAAAGCTCTTACAAAGTCATAACAACTCCAAATCATCCAAAACTAATGCTTATAGAAACCTTATCTAGTTTTCTATCAAATATCACTCTTTGATCTACAAAAGAACCTTAGAGTCATCGTCAAGACTCAGTTTTTTGCCTCAAGGTCTGATTTCAACCCTGGTTCATAACCGGCCTTCTCTAGGTATCAATATCTAGTTTTTCTAAGTAAATTTTGCTAGAATTTATTCTTAACTTTCTTCTAAAGATGTCTATATTATTTATTTTTCCAATCTACTTTGTTTTGCCTTATTTATGGTCCTACAAAGTAAGTAGAAGTCACCTTTTTGAAAAGGCAGCATTGATACTTTTTAGTTTTACTACCCTTTTGACTATTAACTATATTTTTAAGATAATTTTCTCTAATACTTTGAACTAAGATCTCTTATATTATAATAATTTCCACACTCTTTCACCTATTAGTCGTATTACACCATGACAACATAGTGAACAAATTGTAACCAAGTATTAGATTGTGTAATTGCTTGATTTTATTTATTTTACTTATTTTGTGTTTGATCTTTTCTGTTCTTACTACTTGCTTCTTTTACTTCACACCACCAATTATAAGAAAATTTTAATTGAAGCTATTTTATAATTTGGGTTAAAAAAGTAAAATTTACCTTCATATTTTTATATGTTTGCTAAGAGATGGTGCTTCTAATTGTGTGTATATGAATGTGGAATTAGGTAATTATGATTGTTCTTTCATATGGACTTTTTGAATGAGCATTTCAAATCTATTATCCATCATTGATAAGTCTTCTAATTCTTTTCATTAAAAAAAATAAAAAATAAATCTATACTTAAATAAAAAGTGATTTATTTTTGGATTTTTTTCAATTTATTTTTATATATTTGTTATTTTACTTTGAAACCTCGTGAGGTTATGTATTTTTGTATTAGTTTTTTAAAATGCTATCACACGATTAAATTGGATTAAAATTAAATTTTTAGTGAGATTTTTATTAAAAAAAGATTCACTATCTAGGTAGTTTTGTATACTTCAAGTTTAAAAAGGTATATCTTAGTGTTTGTTGAATGTTTTCAATTGAATTAATTTGGAATAGAAGGATCTAAAGAATAAGCTTAGAGTGGTAAAATTTTCATCAGAATTGCATCAATATTTAATTTTTGGAAATTTTTGGAATTGAAGATGGAGTGTAGAAGTATTTAAGGATTCATTATCAAGAGTAGAGATTGTTTTAAAGGTTTCATCACTCCCTCTTTGTCATTTTTTAATTAAGAGCCTTTTCTATTAGTTGAAAAAATTTATCACCTTTTTACTTTTTATATTCTACCTTTTTATATAAGATAAGAAATTGTTTAATTAAATAAGTAATCTTTTATTTTATTCTTATAAATTTTCTTGTAGGCATTTATTTTTTAGTAGTAAAGAAATTTAATCACTTTTTCTACTTGCCATATAAGTTAAAAAGGATTTTCTAATAATAGATTAGAAAATCATTGTACCAAAAAAATCAAAGAAGAAAAAGAAAAAAAATAATTATTTAAGATATCATACTTTCAAGGAAAGTCTTCATTTAAGTAATTTGTTTAGTTTTAATTTTGTAAAACTAATAAAAATTATAGGTTGAAGAGTAATGAGCACAAAAAAAAGAAGTAGTACTAAAAAATTAAGATTCAAGAAAGTTCCTTAGTTCTTGTCAATTCAATTCAATTCCTTTAAATTTTATTCGATATGAAATTAAAGCAAAGAATTGGAGATAGGAATTGAAAAGTAGATGTTAAAGACAAGAACTTGATAAAAACAAATAAACCTTTGAGACCTTTCTCAAAGAAAGATGAAAAAATAGAAATAACTAAATATATATATTAAGAAAGAAATTAGAATGGCTATTGCCAAAAGACAAGAAAACTAGAGACCCTTGAAACTAGACTAAAAGAAAGAAAGGAGTTGACAAAAGTGAAGAAGGCTTCATTCTTGCCTCTATATATACTATCTACTTAAGAGCTACGTAGTGGCATTCTATAGGACCTCCAAAAACGTGTTGACTTTGCACAATACATATCTTAACTTGCAAGGCAAGTTTTCTATGTGAACGCCACATAATTAGCTTGTTCCGCAAGCTACCAACATGTGTGGCATGTGGTTAATTTTTTGACCAAGTTTCTAACCTATCAATCAAATATAAACCTATGTAAAGTCAAAGCAATGTCTATGAAGCTTCTAGGAAGCTATTCTAGAAGATATTATGAAATTAATCTACTTTTACCTACTTCTATCTATTCATATTATCTAGATAAAAATTACAATAAATATATGTCCTTGACATTACCCCCTCTTCTAGGAACGAGTTCCATGAGGAGCGGTGATCATATATTAAGAAAGTCTAAGATTTGAAAAATTATATTTGCCACATACTCTGATATTTGTTCTCTTTGAAGATGATTGATAGGGCCTTTCAACCATCGATAGTGTCCCATACTAAGGCAGGAAGATCACCGTGTTATTTGATCATTGTTCAAGCCTTTATAATTTTGTTCAAATAAAATATTTGGAACATCATCAGGAGTTGTTCTTACCTCTAGTAAA